AGTGGGAGACCTTGGCTTACGCCCGTACCAAGCCTCGTGCGGCGTCCTGAGTGGCGCCTTAGTGGCGTGATTGAGGATGTGAGCAGTGATCACCACCGCCTCTCCCCGAGGAAGACGGCCCGACATCCCCTACAGCGAGAAGGGCAGACCATCCCGTCTGGGTTACTTCAACAATGGCAGATGCAACTGCCAGGCTGTCTGTGTGAATGGTAAGCTGTTGAATACCCTCATCGTGTGATCACGACCTGGTCGTATGCAAAAATGGTCGCCCTTAGATTGTCAGTGCTGGCGGCCATATGACTTCTGCGGCAGCTCATACTCGCATCGACCTGCGGCGCGATGGCGTCACTTTGACCCTACTCCTTAACGCCAAGGACCATCACCCACATGTGAGGAAGGTCGTCGACGGCGGACGAGGAAGTAGCGTCGTCCTCGGGTGTGGCCCGGTGTCACTTAAGGAGCCACACAGAATCCCGTCACTGGCTAGAACCCTCTCCTTGGCTCGGCTTCGCCATTTGAGGGGAAGAGAGTCGCCTCGCCGTAATCAACACCTGAGCGTCGCGGATTGCTCCCACATGAGTCCGAGGCACGGCGGGCCCTCGCACCATCTTCGTGGCGGGCCCGCTTGAGACCTCGAAGTGAAGGTGCCCGGCTTGCTGCGTGCTGCTTTGCGCCTCGTCGTCCGGCAAGCGGCGAGGCTGAAGGAGTTATGCCACACGTTGAGGGCGTAGAGTCGATTTCAAGCTTACGGTTACCTTGGCAAGAAAGCGGCAGCGGCGATCCCAAATCCTCATGACTCCATCCTCAACCCTGCCATGAAGCCGTTCTCATCCGGTATCCCAAAGGCGATGATGGAATTCTCAGCAGCAGAGGATGTAGTGAATTTCCGGTGAAAGCGGCTGTGCTCACGCAGACACTGCAGTGAAGATAGCCAGAAGTAGACGCCCTTGATCTCCGCAAAAGGCATCCCCAAACAGCGGAGCCTCGGGCCGCTAGAAGTCAAGCTCGGTGAAAGAACTCCGTCGGCCGGTCATGTGATGGGTGGCGCCAAGTGTCGAAGCACCACCCGTCGATCTTGTCATTGCTTAGGAGCTATCGGCGGAGGCGTATGCTTTTGGCTAAATCAAGGTGGAGGAGAGCGGCTGCTGGCCGGTCTGCTGCGGAAGGCTTCGATGCTTGCATGTGCCATGCCGAGCCGAGCTCCTCCTCCTCGCTTTGTCTGCGGCGTGGGCACAGCAGCGTCGTGGTATCGACGATCCTTGGCCCAATGGCCAAGCGATCGCGATTCGCGGCGGCGTCGTCTACGTCTTAAGCTTATGCTGCCGTGGCGTGCCTATACCAGGCGCCTCGCGAGCATCACCCTCGACGCGTCCTCGCTTGCCCGACTTTGGGCGTCTCCATAGCGCTAACGTGGCTTGCCGCGCTGCGACCCTTTGTCGCGGAAGAAAACTCCCCTTCTTCGGTCACCTTGGTAACAAGTCTTTGCTCCCGGTGAAAAGGAGCTTCACTTGATGGTGATGGGCCCGAGAAGGCGTGGCTCATCGGCATCCGACGACCTTGAGGCAACCTTCTCGCCTCCTCGATCGACATCGTGGAGAGATCAGGCCGAGGACTTCGATCGAGCAAGCCATCTGCTTGTACTTCTCGGGGGCCTTGTGAAAGAGCTTTTTGACGGCTCTCTCCTCGCCGTGGGTGTCATCGGCCACTGCACCATCTACGCAGCGAGTGTTGAGGGCGGAAACAAAGTCATCAACGTCCTCACGGCTTGAAGGCGAGTTCTCCCACTCCTTGCGAAGTGCTGCGGCGTGGACTTGCGAAGCGCGATCGGCTGCCGTCGTCTTGGCGATATAGCGTCCCAAGCCTCCTTAGCGATCCGCTTGTTGGTAGCGAAGCGCATCTCGGGTGGGGCTGCGGCGATAAGGGCATCGGCGCCCGTCGATCTAGAGTCGTGGTCGGCGTCGCCGTCACCGATTGCCTCCCATTTTGCGCAGCTGGAGCTTTACCCTCATCACGCATGACCCGCTCGGCGTGGTTGGTCTTGGTGAGGTAGACCACCATCGCGAGGACCGACATCCACGACAACGACTGGAGCCGTGGTAACCACCTCTGCCGTCCGGGGAGAAACCCCTATTTTGCACTGTGAAGGCGTGCTCTCCATCGACCCGTCGGTGCCGATCCGGAGAAAACCCTGTTTTGTGAAAGCCGCGCTCTCCATCGACCCGTCATACCTTTGTTGCCGTCTTGGCTCTCCTCCTCGAGGCGCCTTGCGCATATCTTAGCGCCTCCCAAGGCGCCCAGCCCGTCTGCGCGCTCCACTGCGAGGCCATGTGCATGTCCATGCGCTGTCTGAAATTGCCGCGGCGCGCGCTAAATGGGCATGCACGGCTGCCCAGGCGCCATGCGCCATGCAGCGCCTCCTCGGGGCGCCACCGGTAGCGTCCGCGCTGTCTGGCTACCGTTATGCGCTTCGTGGCGTCTTGGGCGGCTAACTCGCGCCGCCTTTCATGTTGCCTCCTCTCAGCGACTTCGAGGTCGCGTCGTGGTGTCGTCGTGAAATGGAAATTGCCGATCTTTGCCAGCAAAAGCCTCGACCTCACATTAACGCCGCCCATTTGCTTCGCCTCACGCTGGTTCTTGCCCGACTCATTGTGCCCGCCCTCGGCGCCTTGCCCCGTCGCCGGTGATCTCTGCGCTTCGCTTCGCGTTCCTCTGCGCAACAAGTTATTGGCCTCTACTGAAGCCCTTGCGATGCTTTCGAGCGGCAAAGTCTTTGAGGCGCCTGCCGGACATGGCGTGCTCTCTGGAAATTGCGTGCGTGAGAGAGAGCGCCAGACAGTTGCTACTCGTCTGTCTTGAAGAGGAGAGGAGTGGCGGGCGGCGGAGGAAATTCTTCTTGCCAACAATAGAGTAAATTGTAGGGGCTAGGAGGGAGATGAGAGGAGATGCTTTCGAGGCTACTCTGAGATAAATGCTGCTCGATACCGGGTTGTTGGTCGTTGAACTCTCACTCTCGGTAGTAGCAGAATTCTTACTCTCATCGAGAGAGGATGACACTAGGAGTTGGGGCAATTTTCTAGTTTATTTCTCACACAAATGCCATGCCAACCTAAGGGGTTGGGGATACATATTTATAGGCTGCTAGGCAGCCAAGCATATGCCAAGATGCTAGTCTAAGATGCTAGTCTAAGATGCTAATATGCAGTCCTAAGATGTCTCTAAGATGCTGTCCTAAGATGCTAAGATGCCAGTCAAGGATGCTGCTGCTGCTATCCTCTAAAGATGCTGCTGCTGCTGTCCTCTAAAAACAGACCACAAAGACTGCTGCAGCCCCACAAAGACCACAGAGACTTATCCATCATACTCCTATAAAAGAAAAAACAGCTGCTGTGGGCAGCCAGTAAAAAATGGCTTAAAATAAAGCCTGAGCCAGGCCAAACAGAGCCTAAGAGGACAGAGCCTAAGAGGGAGCAGATGAAATACCAGTTTAGTAAGGAAAGTAGTAGGTAAATCTTTCATTCTTCTCAGAAACTGTGAGTTTGTGCCCAAATGTGTACCCAACATTTCTGAATAGAACTTGCTGCAAATTTTGTTTGATGCCATTTGAGACTATTAAGAGATCCGGCAACTAGATTGCAGGTAAAATTACTCTAGAATGTGCCATTGTAAAGTTCTTGCTGCCAAAAGGCTATTATGATTCATATGGTAAGCCAAAAGGCTATTATGATTCATATGCCAAAAGGCTGGTAGCTTCAATAAGAGCACCCTGTAACCAATAACTTCTGAGCAGGCCACTCAGAACACACTTAAAAATTGTACAGGACGGCTCACTCTCCCTGTAAGTCATGAACTAACCGAAGGGGTCAGTTAATGAAACCTAAGTAAAGGGCCTTGCCAAGAAGGAGATAAATCCTTTTGATCAAACAATCAACACAAATAGATAAATAATTGCAAAGAGAGTGAAATAAAGATTCTAGTTATAGTGTCCAATTAAACTTACATCAGCAACATCTTCAAGAAAACAGAGATCATAATATCCAAATTGAGTTAATGCATTCACTAATGCTAAGATGATTACTGCAGAAGTCGATTGGAACATGAAAGTTATAAGCATATGAAAGTCCAAATTTTACTACCTCTGGTTAATGTAGCATGTCTACAGCCTCATTAGAATGCCTTATTTTGTACTATTGCGCTTGCCTCATAACTCAAAACCCTAGCAGCGCATTTCTTTCATGGCTATTGAATTCTGAGCAAATAAAAATTTCCAAACATGTTCTACTATTCATACAGACCCATTGGCAACGGACATTTCTCTAACTACTTGGTACTTCTTAGGAATAGCACTGCATGATAAGTAAAAAAACTATGCAATAGCAATTCCGCAAACAGTTAAATTAGAAGTTCTCCGGGAGCATAACATCCTCTTCTTTCCCAAATGCTGGTTCAGGTTTGCTAGAAAGAAGAGCTCACAGATCCTAAGCAACAAGAATCAAATCTACAGATTCTTAGCGCCAAATAATGTAGGAAGGAAAGCTCACGGATCCGTCGAGTCCAAGCGAGCCGAGCAGCCACCGGTAGGCCGCGCCGTCACGGAAGGCGATGCCGCCGCTTCCACCGCCTTCTGCCTCGTCCCCGCGCCTGGGGCACCCGCAGTAGGCGCAGAGTGCAGACTGCGCACCGCGCAGGAGCCCTCCCGCCGCCCCGCAGCGCACGCATCGGAGCTCCGCCGAGACGGAGGCGGCGCCCGAGTCGAAGGCTGCGACGGCGTCGGCGACGGAGGGGAAGGGAGGGGCGGGTAAATCTTCTGCAGAAGGGGCGAAGGTGGCCTCGCGGAGCGAGGACTGGAGGCGGTGGATGGCAGCGGTGGGGATCTCCATCGGCGGGGAGGAGCGGGCAGGAGTGTGCTGGTGGGAATTCAGATCTCTCCAGGTCCGTGGCCGTGTTGGGCTTGGGCAGTTTTTTTTTTTTTTACAACATTTTTTTTTTTTTACAACAGGCTTGGGCAGTTGGGGTTGGCGCTGCGCCCTCGTCTCTCTTCCCGTGGGACGTGACAGAAGCTCATTTGCGTCGTGCCTGGTCCACGGCAGCAGGTGGCGTTTGGATACCGGGAAATGGGAGGTGGGATAGGATAGAGAAATGAACGAAGGGTTAGGATTAAATAAGGTGTAAGAGCGGATGGTTAGGATTGAATATCTCTTTATCCCTATTCTATTAACAGAAAGGAGTGTCTTTTTTACTTGAATAGGCAAGAGTCTTTGTATCTTTGTATTTAAAGAATAAAATAAAAGTAGTTATATTATAACCAGGTAGAGCTAGCGTCCGGATGTCCGGACGCCCGCGCATACTCGTGTCGTGTGCCTTACCCACTTCGATTCGCAGCTCGGCCCTCCGTGGAACACGCAAAATTACGGCATGAGGAGGCGGTGGGAAAGAAACCACCTCGTCTTGTGCACTGCAACGTACGCATGCGCCGCTTTTTACTCCATCGTCTACCGGTCCTAGCCTAGTGTGTGCGTTTAATGAATCTGCATTGCATTGCCGAGGAAGAAGGCCACTTGTGGCCGACACATCAAATTTTCTATTTTTGCGCATGCACGAGGGAATCCATGCGCCTCTCTAACGTAGCTACGAAACATGAAACACTAACATGAAACAAAATGCAATATCGTCTAAAACAATCTGGAATATTTGAAACATGCACTTCCAACATATGCGTGAAATATATGCAACATCTAGATAAAACACTTGCAACATACATCTGAAACAGATGAAATATTTTTATATAAGTATTGCAACATCTAGGTAAACAGCTAGTAACATCCATCTCAAAACAGTTGAAACATCTGGAACATACACTTACAACATAGGGGTGCAACACAATGTCACCTTGCTGCCTGGGCGGCTGGATACTCATTGTTGCGGAGCTCGCCGGTGCGATAGCGTAGGCAACTCGCCAACTCACTAGTAGGGCGGCATCACACGAAGCTCCTCTCACCTGCTTGCTGGAGCATCCATTGTGGAGGCTCGCCGGCTCGGTAGCACATGCGTGGAGCTCGACGGCGCGCCAGTGGCTTGTAGCATGCGCAAAGCTCGTCGGCACGGCTGCCGTAGCCTCTGCCCTGTTGTTCCTTATCGAAGTCATCGACGACGGGGCCTGGCGTGTAGCGCCCGCACGGTCACTATCGCGCTCCCGCCTGCCCTATGGGCGGCCTGTTGCTGGTCTTCTACGCTGCCGCTCGCCTCAATTCGGGGTGAGGGAGGCAGTGAGGTGAGGGTGTATCAAAGGGAGAGGGAGGAGCTGGTGCTGGACTCCTAAGAGCAGGCTGTGTCGTCAGGCTCAGAACAAATGGATAAGAATGATTCGGTGGGAAGAGATGTCCATCCATTCGGACACTTGACTATATCATTATCGATATTATAAAGAAAGGCCAATTCTCAGTCGACTCGGCGTACAAGTAAGGCTATATTGTGTATATACAACCTATGGACCTTTCTTATGTCGCCGCTACCCCCAGCCGCCAAGCATCCTAGGCCGATTGCATCCACTTGTATCCACCGATCGGCTTCAGCCTTTATGGCTGAGAGGAGGTCGGTCAACGTGGTTGGGAATCTCAACATGGTTGGGAATCTCTAAAGCAGTGGGTGTTCCTTTCCTTCCAAATCTATCAAGAGACCAGCGTGAATTGGGAATCCATTCCCAATCTCTGCTGACCATCCCAAGTTGATCACAACCTCCTCCACCAGCCTATGGTTGTGTCTGCTCCTGTGGTAGGTTGCGACCAAAAACTTGCAAAATCCTATGTCAAACTTCCCGGGTTGCCCATCACATCGCATCCACTAATATGCATAGCACACCCTAACATTGACTCATCGGAAAGAACGGCCTTGCCGGATTGCCTCGTGCATCTCATCCACTAATATGCACGAGCACAACCTAGCCCCATTGCCAAGCCCCATCCACATGGCCTTGGATTCCATCGGTGGAGAGCAAATCAAGTTGCACGAAACACAAATCCTTGCTTCATGGATCATAGCCATGGAGACGTTGAAAGGATCTAACAATGCCTAGAGGGGGGAATAGGCGTATCTAAAAATTATTGCAAATGTTAAGTTCAAATTTGTCGACCCACATCGAAGTCCCGCGGTTTGGGTGGAACTTCCGACGTCGTCGAAGTTTCGACGCAAGCTGTTAGAAGTCCCGACACCTCACGTGAACTATGAAAGCGTGCCAAATTTAACTGCGGATAAATAATCTTACAACCCCACTTCCTAGTGGTTAGATGAAGATGTTGGGTCACTCCCTTGACGCTAAAATGCCTCCAATTCGTAGATCGAGTCCAAACTCTAATAAGTAGCTTGGGAGAGAGAGAGAAATAAATACAAGTAATTTTGAGCAAATCACAACAACAACAAGCACGCGGGACATAGGGATTTATCCCGAGGTTCGGCAACCCCACAAAGGAGCTCCTACATCATCATTGTTGAGGTGACCACTAAAGTCAGAGTCTCTTTCACCTCCTTGCCTCACTCAAGGAAACCACAAAGGTCACTTGAGTTTCTCCACTAGAAATCAAGGGTAATACAAATTTCCCAAGGCTCTTCCACAAGTTGAAAGCTCTTAGGTGATGCCTAGCCAGCTAGGGGCAAATCCCTAAGAGTATTGAACGCAAATTCAACTGGCTTGATGAAGAAATCAAGTGCTCAAGCTTGCTTGATGATTTTCTCACTTAATCCACTCTCTACTCAAAACCTTGGAGGAATCGAAGTTGGGGGCAAAGGGGAGAAGAGAGGAGAGCCTTAAATGCTTGGGAGCTATTTTGGATAGAGTTGGGTCGCAATAAATGGGTGAGTAATGGTTAGAAGAGAGGAGAGAGCTATTTATACTCAAAGGAAAAATCCAACCGTTCAGATCTACATCGAAAGTTCCAACGTAGATCTCGGGACTTCCGACCTCTATAGAAATCACTATAGAAAGCAAGGTCTAGGTCACTACAAACACATCAACATCGAAAGTTCTGACGACTATCGGGAGTTCCAATGGTCGAAACTTCCGACGCATGCGATCGGAGTTCCGGACCATTGGTACTCTGGTAGGACAAGTGGCCAAACATCGGGACTACTAGCCGAAGTGGGACTTCCGATCGCTGGGGAGTCCCGACTTACATCGGGACTTGAACGTCTGCTGGTCAATGAGCGGACTAAGTGAAATCTCTAGTTTGGTTTTTGTGAATTGATAAAACCCTAAGTGCTAACCCATTTGCTCTATGTGATCATGAGATAGGGTAGCACATTCCAAGTGGTGGAGCAAATGTTGAAGATCATGATGGTGGTGATGGCCATGGTGATGATCAAATGCTAAGGCTTGGAAAGAAGAAAGAAAAACAAAAGTTCAAGGCAAAGGTGATATCCATAGGAGCTCTTTGTTTTGGTGATCAAGACACCTAGTGGGTGTGATCATATTTAGGATAGATACCCGTACTATTAAGAGGAGTAAAACTTGTATCGAAATGCGGTTATCAAAGTGCCACTAGATGTTCTAATTCATTACATATGCATTTAGATTCTAGTGAGTGCTAACACCCTTAAAAATATTTGTGAAAATATGCTAACACACGTGCACAAGGTATTACATTTGGTGGTTGACACATTTGAGCAAGGGTGGTGAAGTTGGAGATCAAAAGGAGTTGAAATAGGGGCGTCAGACCCTGCTTCATAGAGCATCGGACCGGCCTCTGGCTAGGTCCGACGGCTAACCCTAACACACACGCAGTGAAGAGCCAGTGTCAAAGCGGGGCTCGCGAGGGCATCGAACCGACCGAGTGCACTGTTCATTCAGTGCTACGTGTGTGAGTGAGCGCGGGCGCGACACGTGTTAACATCGGACCATGGGTTGGGTCTGATGGTGGGCGTCGAACCTAAGTCTGAGGGTTTTAACCCTCCCTAGACCTCTCTGGACTGCATCTGACCCTTCCTGTGTGGAGTCCAACGGTGAGTGCGAGGCCTAGGTTCGACGGCACGATCAGAGCGTGGTAGTGAGCCGTTGCACGGCAATGGTCACTTTGTTTCAAATGGTACACGTGGCAGCGCATGAGTGGACGCAGCAGGGCATCGGACCAAGCATCGGACGGTCGAACAGCCTATGCCAGCAAGTCCGACGGTCACTTATGTGACCCAATGGCTGTATTTCATGGGGGCTTCTATTTAAGCCACATGACCGACTCTAGCTCACTCTCTTGACCATTTTTATTGACATAGCAACCTAGTGAGCTGAGCCAAAGCCCTCCCACTCATCTCCATCATTGATTCATCATCTTTGTGAGATTAGGAGTGAATCAGGTGCATTGTTGGAGTGATTGCGTCTAGAGGCACTTGGTGATTGTGTTTCGCTGCGAGATTCACTTGTTTCTCTTGGTTGTTGCCGCCACCTAGATGGCTTGGTGCAGCAAGGATCATCGAGTAGAGGAAGGTGATTATCTCCGACTCCGATCGTGGTGATTGTGAGAGGTTCTTGAGCTTTCCACGGCGAAGAGCCAAAATGGTACTCTAGTGGATTGCTCATGGCTTGTGGATCCTCATCTTGTGTTGGTTGTGCGGCACTCAATTGCGGGTTAGCCGTGTGATGCCTATTAGTACGTGAACCTCTAAGTGAGTGAATCACCACAACAGGGACTAGCTTGCTGGCAAGCAAGTGAACCTTGATGAAAAATCATTGTGTCATCTTGTCTCTGAGGATTTCATTGGCATTCATTGATATATTGTGATTGATCTTTTGCCACGGCGGTATACCTCACTACCTATCTTGTGCATTTACTTTCTTAGTGTAGCTAAGCTCTTTAGTGTAATTAGTTTTGAGAGCTAGTGTTGACATTTCTTAGTG